CATGTGACATATTTTATTTGGAATTGTTTGAATTATTAGTGTGTTATTTTCTCAGGAATGTATTTTATGTATCTGCGGCGCGTTAATTATCTTATTTTTATTTATTTCATTTTTTTTTTGGTGTGAACAATTGGATTAGATTATTTCTTTCTTCGGGTGTGAGTATCCGAACACATTCAGTGGCTTATCTATCGTAAGGGAAAAATTGAAAGATAAAGTCTTCTTCAACTTTGAAAGAGTGATTGTTCTTCCTTGGTCGAAGGTGAGACGTAGGAGGGTGAAATCTGGTTTCTTTTAAGGTCAAGTTCCTCTACTAAGGAGTATTGTGGTGCTGAGTTCACATTCCGGGGTTGGTTGCTTTCATTCATTTTCTCGCGTTGAAGGCTGCAGGGGGGAGTTGTTAACACAATGATTTCTAACTACAGGGTTTTCCCTCGCTTGCATTGACAACTCCGTACTCATTTAATGTACTCCATGATTGTGCTCAGCAGAAATTGTCACAATAGTAGAATGTGCTCGACCTCAGGTGAAATTGTTTACATTAATGGACTGAAAAAAATGAATAGATAAATAAACGTTCAGGAATGTGGCCACACAGAGACTGCAACACTAGTGTGATGTAATGAACTGGAAGAAAAAAAAAAAAAAAAAAAAGAGAAATTCTTTTTGTCATAAAATTATTGACTGATCTTAGACTTATTTTGTTTGTGATTAACGCCTTATTTTATATTTTTATTTTTGTATGTGTTCTGAATATTTCTAGGTTTAATTAATTAAGTGATTTAATTGATGTTTTTGATTAATTGTTTTTGATGATCTTCCTTGAGTATTTTAATTAGTAATTGCTTTGATTAATCTTGTTGTTTTACTTGCACATTTTGGACTTTAAATTTAATGTGTCAGTAACGTCACTGTTACCAAGGAGTCGTGTGAAATATTGTTACATTATGTTATCCTTTAGCCTTATTGCACAGTATGAGTCATGGTATTTCAAGAAGTGTCTGTCTGCTAAATTTTGGTAAACCAAAATTTAATTCCTTAGGGGAAAGGAATGTTATGTAGAGAAATTATCTGATAGCGTTATAAAAATTAGGTGAATGATTTTATGATTTATGGAAATCTTAATTTTTATTTGATTATGAATTATTTATTTTAAGGCTTTAATTTTGGGGAAAAACAGATGCTTCTGGAAATATTATTTAGTTTAAATGAATATTATTTATTTTCCTCTATTTGTAAATCTTGTACAAACTTTTATTCATTGTGAAAGAAGCAGGGAAAGGGAGGCAATTTTTTGCCAAGTCATGATTTCGCGCGCTTTGTCCTTTAGAATGTTCGAGAAAGAATTTTCATTGTTAGTTGACCTTAAGAGAGGAAAGTACGTGACAGAAAGGTCAAAGGTTGCTACTTGTCTTTCAATGTAAGTCATTCAGGTTTTTGGCGATTGAGGGTCCGGTTGTTGGCTAAGTGAAGAAGGGCGCGCATGCGCGATCACCCTTATTTCCGCATTCTGGAGTTGAAAACGAAGATTTTGCCATAATTAAGGGGGCGATAAGTGAAGCCATAGTGGGAGCCCGCGTTTGTGAAGGAGACGAAGGAAATTCGAGTTGGATTCACTTTTTGGCTCACTCTCTGACTGACTCGCTGATTTTCGGGCTTGCTGGACTTACGGGCTTGCTGGACAAAATGTAATTACGAAGAGAGATGTTTTCCGGCGGGGAGCGGCAAATATGCTCCCCGGCCGCGTTTGGTTAAGAGGCGAGACTCTCTTCCGCACTCACTCTTGGACTCGCTGACTTTCGGGCTTGCTGGACTTGTGGACGTTGCTCTTGAAAACTGGCTTGAAGAAAATTCGAGTTGCATTCTCTCTCTTACTGACTGGCGGGTGGAACTTACTTGGGACGTTACTCGTGAAGCTTGCTCTTTGGATGAGTAAGAACAGGCGAGCCGTAATTGCCTAGAAACAACGTTTCTGACCTGAGGCTGAAAACCCTCTTCCTTGCGGCGTGCTGGTAAAGAGGCGCAATTTGAACGAGTTACCTGCGTGTTGACATAGGACTTTCAGGACCAAGCGGATAGCCGTCCTGGGCAGCAGTGCTCCTGTTTCTGTTCTACAGTGGTGAAGTGGAGTCTACATTTTTAGAACCAGTGTCAAGATGAGCCCGGCCGACATCAACGCTTGATAAGATAAGAGTCCTCCACTTCAAGATGTCTTCCTCAAGATAAGTTTTATTTTTTTGGTGTGTTTGAACTTTAGGCAAGCTGTTCAAAACGTCCTTAGCAGTAAAAACTCGTCGAATCTAAAATTTAACTCTCATGCCTTAAATTGTTTCCTTTTCCTTTCTTTTAAATTACCAGACAAACCTTAAGTTTTTTTTTATGAATTTAAATGAAAAGACTCTCAGATGAGGTTAAGATTTTTCTTATTGTGATGTAATTGAATAAACTGATATTTAATCTGGAACCTCTTATAGTATGTTTTCTTTATATATTTAATATGTTTTTTCCTATATTTCTTGTATATGTTTTTCTCATGTTTTCGATCCTCTCACGGCGCGGTCCCGGGATGCATTTTTTTTCACAACGCAAAAAATGCTGTACACGTTTCACTATACGATCACTACCTTTCACGGCAAGTAGTTTCATATTTAACATTTAACATATAGGAATTTCAGATATAACATGGTACCCTGAAGTAAAGCTATTTAACCTTGGTGTCGAAACTTTTTTCTTCATAACACTTTCGAAATAACGGCGTTTACGATTCAAAAACCATTTAATATGCAATTTTTAATCAGTCTAAACAAGATTGTTACAAGTATTTAAAAATTTGTATGATATATATTTTGCAAATTTTAAGGTTCTTACGAAATCCAAGAAATGCTATAAAACAATTTTTAAAACAAATTACACTAATTTGAAATTCAATTTTTATCATATTGTTTCAGGTTTTTTTAGTGTTTATTGCACTAGTAAATATATTTCAAGGAAAGTGTTAAAGAAAATGATCAGAGCAGATATTTCAATGAGAAAGGGACTTTGGTTTCCTTGTTCATGATTAGAAAACAGTTTGTGTATTATTGTATTTAAACTACATGTACTTTTGACATTTAGTGCCATATGTCTGGCATACCATCTTTCGGAATTCGTGTTCTTCAGCATTTAAGTAAATTACAAAACCCTAAAAGTCGAAAAATTTATTTTAATATTTATGTCAACGGAAAGGTATCTAAAGTGATTATAACATGACAGAAAAGGAAAACACTTAAATAAATGAACATTAAGATAGTTCTAGAAACGTTCCGTATAGTTTATTCAAAAGTGACATACGAATGAGAATTCATTGCTAAATATATTTTCCCTCAGAAAAGCATTAAAAAATTCCAAGGTTCTGCTCTGTATAGTATTTAATATTTCAAGAGGAAGAAAACCAAAAACCAGACATGTCTGTGTATGAAATAAAAATAAGCTAGCACAGAAGATTCCATTTTTTCCTTAACTGAATTTCAGAGTTTTGTTAACGATAAGGAATTGTAACTTTGAAATTTAATATTTTAAATTGCTTTTACTGTGATAAAATGGGTGAACATTTTTGAGGAAATCAAATGAAGTTATTTCTCGAGTAAATCAAAGATATCTGTGTGCAATAAAGTAGTTTAATTCAACATTTCGAAAGTGAATGCTACCTGATGATAACAGGTACACTGCCATATTTTTATCATTCTTTTTTTTTTCTTTTTACTTTGTTGATAATCTAATAAGGAGAAAATTTCACATCTCATGGACGATTAAATAAACATCTTAGGCCATTCGATAGATTAACAAAGTTTCTGAGAGGTAGTTATTACTGAGATTTGCATCAAAATTAATTAAACAGAAAGCAATAACTTAACATAGCATTTCGTTGAAATAATTTACATATTTCGGCAACTAAGAATGCATTAGAATGTAATTCAGGGTACTTCAGCAGGAATTTAGAGGGAATTGTTACAGCGTTTTTGGGGATACATTAACAGAATACTTTTCAGCTGACTTATATGTTCTGATATGAATCAGAACTTGTTTAATTGAACAGATATTAGTTTACTACACAGGAAAACATGCGTGTTTCTCGGATGTTCTGGATGATGATTTTCAAAAACATCTCATCGTATTCTTGCAATGAAATATTAAATATAACACAGATGAATGATATTTTTAAACTGCAGTTTTCAGATGCATGATCATTATCCAAAAGAAAATTAATATTTTAAAAAAACATGTGACTGAAATATTTAATTTTTTTTTACCTAGAATAGTACCTCGTAATGAGAATCATATGATTCTGAATTCATACTTTTGTGCATATAGCAATTAAGGTAATATTATGTATCAAATTATGCAAATAATTTCATGCAGTTAATTCCGTTTCTTTCTTTACGGGAACGGCACAGCTACTATATTCTTGCTTATCATTTTTCAAATGCAAATACAGGATTAAAAATTTGACAGCCTTGTTTTTAACTGTTTTTAAAGATTTAAAAAAATTATTAATATAATTTATTAAAATAACATTTCTTTTATTAATTTAGTTTGTACGTAATGGTTTCTTCTTGCGTTGCGAAGTACATTTATATGTATCTGAGAAGATTTATGGTTTGCTCCATATTCTCACTCGAATTACCGATTAACAGAGTAAGTCTTCTACTTGTTCAATTTCGGCTTATAGAATTGGTACTGTAATAATTACAGTGATTTTTAAACCTTTTCTAGGGGTTAGAGGACGAAAGCACCTCACAAGACACAAGGTATCCAGCTCTAAATCATATAACTAATTAAAGTCTTAAGAATACACTCTTAAACGCAGACAAAATACGAAATTTAAAATAAATCTTTCTACCACATAATTATTTTGTCCGCAGAATAGGTCAGGTTTTACAGCCCTTATTTAGACCAAAACTGCATCTCAACGCTGAGACGAAAAAACACATAAAACGAAACAAATTAGAAGATGCACTTACCGGAACAGCTCTTGTTGTACTTTCCAGAACCGTTCTCTAGGGAGCAGTTGAACCTGTATTCCCAAAATTCCCTGAACCAGGGATTTCGGGAATTGTTGTGAGGCTTAAGAGAAAAATAATATGGGTCGAAGCTGTGGTCATACGTGGAGTGAATTCGAATGGAGATCCCACCCAGCGCTTCTTTTTCGTATTCTTCCGTAACGTCGTTCCGGTCAGACCAACCATCGCTACAAAGACAAGAAAACTTGATCTGAAACTTTAATGCGTGAAAAACATGTAGCATAGAATGGTAAAACAAACATCTAAAAGGAAAAAAAAACTTATTTGAATTTTAGAAAGAACAGTTTTGAGTTCTGTAAGGAAATAAAACAGAATGCTCGAAAACAGATCTTTTTAAACGTAAATTAAACATCGATGTTTAAATCTACATAAAGAGAACAAATCTGTGCTCTTTAGCATATGAAGTTTCATACGTCTCACTTTAGTTATTAAAGGTTTAACTTTACATTTATATATTTCCCTTTCCTCTGTCCTTTCATATATTATCTCCAATCCAACTCCTTCTGAGAGAATGGAAAATTATTTATTGAGCAAATGCAGCACAGTTTTTTAAATGTTGGAATTTAATTGGTAGCGCTGTATACTGAAAGAAAGAAAATGAAAAGAAGAGGAAAAATGAAGCTCGAAAAGTGAAATTTAAATCCTTTTGCTAATTTAAGAACTCTGTGAGAAATCAGCATTTTTATCTCTTCAGAGTAGACATTTAAAACGTTCTGACTTGTCTGCTTTCTTTTTAATTATCCGCGCTGCTAAAAATGCACAAGACATTCATTTAATATCCACTCTTTCTGGTTACCGGCCAGGTTAACACAGGTGTAAACATTCTACAATTAAGACACAATTCTACAATGTATACGATATTTACATTTTACTTGAAATTAATCAAATTCACTGCTTAACTAAGTATGGGATTTAAAATTAATGCATGCATTTACTCAATACATGTTTAAGCGTTTTTACGTTTTTACCCTAGTCTTTACAGTTTTGTTCCCCTTACATTGCGTTACTCTATCATGATATTCATCAACCCCCGTCTTCAAGTATTCTCATGGCAAGAAACATAAAATCACCAAATTTACATTTTTTGAAGAGATGGGCAAACAATATTGTCAGGATGTTGCATTCGAAAAGGCATAAATGTTTTAAATCAATTTTAGAATTATAATTGCGGTTGTTTAAAAAATCGAGCGATTTAAAAGCAGTAAACGCATTTGTTAACATTTTGTACATTTTTAATTATATCGCTATTGTCATATAACTAGTGATCATAACTCGTAATAAATTTAACTGGTTGTAACTTAGAACACAGCCAACATATAATTTTATGAACATCTGCATCATTTTTGTAACTGATGGAAATTGTTACAGACGCCATATAATTAGCGACGCAGAATTTTTAAAATAAAATCTCTAAATGATGTGGTAATATAGCATTTGTAATATATATAACCAATATTTTATGGGTATTTTAGTTACTAAAAGAAACTGTTTTTCGTATCTCATATTACGTACCTTTATACAGACTACTGTTAAGCATGAGTTAATGAAACGTTTTGTATATTATTTTGACTAACGTAAGCTATTAATCACAGGTGCTATTTTCGTCTGTAGTAAACAATAAATTATCATTCTCAGCTTTACAACATTAATTTGCAGTGATCAATATTTTGTTTAATAACTGATATATATCCATAACCTAATTTAGATAAGCTAATAATTCAGCAAATTGGATTCAGATAGATAGCTTCCAAGCAGATGAAATTTAACACCAATGTGTAAAACATTCTCTTCGTTAACGCTTTATATGCTTTAATAATCTAAGACAAATAAATACTTATGAGCATATTCTGCTCAAAAACACTGATGTACATCTTCAAATGCGATTTAAACTGCTAAATATGAATACAAAGGAGGGAAATAAGCATTTTGAGATTTTAAACTCCCCAATCCAAAGTTGCGCCAATAAAATGTCTTGCTTGTTTCCATTCCGTATGATGATATGAGGTGAAATCCTCATTCCATATGAGATGAAATTCATCTTGACGGATGTTATTGAAATACAATAAAAACTAGGTTCACCTTAATAAAAATTTATGATAATAAAAATTTTATTTAGACTATGACACATCAAAGTAATTAATCCATCGAAATTAAAAAAACCTCATGCACTTTTATGAAATAAGATATTCTAACGTTGCCATTTTGGCACTGCATAATTCTTTTATAGTCAGCGAAAGTCATTTTAATTTTAACTTCACCTAACTATTTTATTAGTTTGAGAAAGTCAAAATTATCATTTTCGTAAAACAAGCTTTTCATCGGTGAAGGAAAGGCTGCTCCCATAAGTAACTTTCTTAAGGATAACTGCTCCTGTTATTACGTAGTAGGGAAATGGTGACTGTTCATACATTTTCTGCTCAGAACAAAAAAACATATTGGTGATTTTAACATATATCATTCACCACAAACGAATTTAGGACAATTTCCTCGCAATAAATATATTTTAAGAAATACAAAAAAAAAAAAAAAAAAAAAATCTGAAATGTTTCAGATTTTAAATTACGTCCAAAGGGGCGTTTTTTAACATTTTGTGTGTTACCTTTCTTTATTAAATATCATGTTCCTCGCACTTAAACCATAAGATCCAGTGCAACAGCAATATCGCAAAATAGTTTTAAAACGAGCATATCTTTAGAATTTCCGATACAGAGACTCACGCGCTGGAGATAAAAATGTTTTTTCTGCACAACGTTGCCATTGCTCGCTTTGAAATCCTTGAGTTTGTTAATCAAAAATTCGTCAAAGTTTTAAAAAATAGGAAATCGATCATAAAACAAATTTCAAATTTCAAATTTGGTCTTCCACATGCTCATATTCGTTGGAGGATTACGTTATTCAAAATTCGATGACTCTATGTACCGTTGTTTTATGACAATACGAGAAATATACATACATTTACGCAGATTTTTCATTATTTAATTTCTTCAAATATAATGCAGGACTCTAACATTTTGTGGCAACAGTTTGAAAAGTGAACCGACATTTATGAGTCCGACGCAAAATGCCAAAACGAAACTAATAGTCCTTCGGGATTCAAATCCCTTTGGACTAATGAGGTCATCAAAAAGTGCGGTCTTTTCAGATTTCTCTAATTTATCGCATAGGTTTAAAAGTAGGCGACTTGTCATCTACAGGCACTTTTACACTGACATACTAACCGCTTAATGACCGAATTTGTATTAAGAATTATGCCGAAAATCCCGGATTTTTATACCATTTTTATTATCTACAGATACGGATATCACTAGATGTAGATTTGTAAGGCAAAAACAAAATTCGAGGGGGCGGGACAAGATATTTATTATGGTTCATGACATTACCCGTGTTAACTCGGGCTTCAATGAAGCAGCCAAAAAAAAAAAAAAGAAAAAAAAAAAACAATCTAGCCCAAAAAATAATACAGAACTGTAGTCTTGGAAATAATCTCTACATATAATAAAAGAAAGAGTCGTTCGTTCGTGCTGCGAATAAACTAATAGACCCAGAGCTACAAAATTTGGTATATAAGTTCATCTAGAAAAGAGCCAGTGCACCTCGAAGCAATTTTTTTCAAAATTCGAATGAGATTTTATTTTATTTTATCTTTGTTGATGCAATCGCATCATTTTGAATAGTTTTATTCTTTTAGAAATGTGGTTTTGGCAACAGGTTTTCATTCAAGGCTTTGTATACTGGACTGATGACTGTTGAAAATATGAGTTAAAATATTATTCATTATACACGCAGCACGCCCATCGCAATATTCTTATTTTGATGTGCATGTGTCTCGTGAGGCACAACAGAAAAAATTTTCTTTTTTTTTTTTTTTTCTCTCTCTCTCTCTCCTTATTAGCTAAAGGCAAAAAGGTTTGTATGTTTCGAATTATGTCATTCACAAAGGACAATTTTGATTGGTTATTGCTTTCTGATGATAGTTTCCTTCTTTTAAAAGTGTGGTTTGGCAACAGTTTTTCATTCATTGCTTTGGATACTGGACTGCTACCTGTTTTCTCTTAAAAATATGACATTTATTGCTTATTTCTTTGTAATTTTTTTTAAAATTATGTTTTAATTATATATAATTGTAATTATATAAAAAGATTCCCATGATTTCTTTTTAGGAAACTAAGTTTTTTACTTGCTTTATAGTATTTATACCATTTGAATTCTTAAGATTTTGCAACGGGTTAATTTATTTATTAGGATAATTAATATTTGTGTTAAGTGATATTGCTTATTTCATTGTAAAAGTTGTATATATAATACATTTTTATTGAAATGTTTTGTTGTTGTTTATTTAATAAAGTTGTTCTGCAGAGTAAAATTCTGTTCAGTTTTTAAATTTAATGTTTGGTGTTCCCTTTAGGCACTTTTCTGGTACATCTAAAATCCAGACGAAGGCTGGCCGCGTAGCGGCTAGTAAGTAATAAGAGCTAAAGTAAATATCAAATAAATACATTGTACGATCTAATAAATTTCATTGACAGTGGTACAATCTGTAACATGTTGTAACACACAGAGGCACATCACAGTCTGGACAATAATACAGCCATTACAGCTCAAAGGTAATCACAAAAGTCACTTGGACCCCTCCCACAATAAAGAAAACATGTTTATGGCAATCACAAAACATGAGCATGGCAATCACAAAAGTTGCTTGTACCCCTCCCTCAGCTAAGCAGAGTGTCGATTTCCACGCGATATTAAGGGCGATGGCATTAAATATCCGTAAAAGTTTCAGCCCCGAGTTAACTCGTTCATAGGAAAATCGAAACGGCATCTATTCCCGAGATGTCTCGGGCGCGGTCGTTAAGTTGCTAATTATGCTACTCTAATTGTAAAACCGGAATTGTGGCACTAAGCACCACTGATAAAATTACACTCCAAAGTCAGATTATTACAAAAGTTAATTAAATATGATTTCTTACTCTTAACATTCATGAAAGTGTAATTCGACGAGGTTCTAAAACAAAGCCTAACTTGACAGTTTCATAATATCTGCAACAATTATAATGCATGGGGAAACAAAAATTGTGACTGAAATGCTTAAATGGTATAATTTTCTTTAAACGTTTAAATAAGATTTTTCTCCTTTTTGTTCGCTGTTCTTGTTTCGTTTATTTTTAAA